CTTGGCCGCGTTGAGAGATGCTCGTTTCTAGCTCAGGGTGCTTTGTGGGACTACCAGCTGTGAAGATGACAGGGGAGAGGGCGGCGCTGTCGCCGACGCGATGACGTCATCGCCAGGATCGGTCAGTGCACGCCCTCATGACTCTCAGGAGATGATGCATCTGTGGCTTGGGCATCCGCCACTTCCACGGCATCTAAAGGGCCCTTAATTGATGTGGTTCAAAACATCTCGTCATCGACCCAAACATCCTGTCGAGCATATCATGCTACGCTCGGAATTACAGACAGACAAACTGCAGCTCGAACAAGCCAAGACCAAGCAGACATCCTGCAGTCGGCACTATCCCAGCGGGTTCCCCGTGACGTCATCACCATCTGGCATGCCAGCGGCGCTCGGCGGCTCGGTTGACATGGTAACCAGGCCAGTCTGGCTGGCCAGTGGTCGACAGCAGAAGTCCGCACGAGCCGTCGCCGCTCCAGCTGGCGCCGACGCCGACCGGACGGTCAGCAGGCTGGACGGACGTCTTGTGTCGGCACGTCGATGGGCGGAACGTGACTGTTTTTGCCGGCGTGGAATTTATTTCGATTGTGTACTTACACGTGGATGAAATCGCCGGGTTGTTAACAGGTGCGGTTTGTAATGGATCTTCCTTCACATGTGTTTCGGTGGCACGTTTTTATTGTTCTTTAAATCGTAGCTTCGTTGCGACAAGCTTCTTATCCGGATGGTGGATCCATGCTCCGAATGATGATACAACAGAGGTTCTCATGGTTTCGCCGACATGTGTAATTCGCATTTTACCTACGTGGTGATTTCAGGCGGATGGAACTTTATCGTCAACGCTAATATCTGCTACAGCCTTTCTCCAGCGGGTGGAGGATGACTTCCCAGATCTCACCAACGTTTAACGATTTCCTCCAAAAGTGTGAGCCGATCCCAGGCAGTATCATATTGGTTCACTTACCGAAGGCACATAGGAAAATTAACGAGACCGAGATCAATGTCATGCACTTCGAAAGACGTTACAATGTGCACAGAATGACTTCTGCAGTGGACAGCCGTTGTCGCAGACAGCTGTTCTCAAACGTGTAGTGTGGCTGTCACACGTCGTAGCCGTGGAGCCAAGCACTCCATTATTTTACGAGGCATCTAGCTGCCGCGGCCACGAACGTCTAGATCCTTCACGCCGATTGCCAGCGGTGGGAGCGGGGGGGGGGGGGGAGGGTCGAAGCACGGTGGTAGTTAGTCTAGAAGCCGTCTTGCGGTCATAAAGCCAGCATAGTCGAAGCCTGAGTCCCTGAGTCATGAGTCGGAAACTGTCAGAGTATAGAGATTAGCTTTCGAGATGTAGTATTGGCTGATGATATGCCTGCTTGTGAACCGAAGGGTTTGCGCGATCTGCGAGTTATGAATGGCCAGAGGTAGTGATCAGAGGGCATGCACGTGAATAAACCGATTTTCATGGCCTGTTTTCGCTTCGTGTGGTCACATGGAGAGATCACTATATCCAGGGCTGCAGAAACTATATATATATATATATATATATATATATATATATATATATATATATATATATATATATATATATATATATGTGTGTATATATATATATAAAATAAATATATACGCATGTGTTCAGATGCGTAAGATGTCACCGGTGTGTGTCTAGTCAGATCTAATCGCCTGTGGCGTGTTGGGCTGAGTGGAACGTTAAAGTCTGACACTGGTCACACACATTTAGCATTCCTCATTCCACCAACATCAGTTAACGCAAAACAATGGACGGGAACGCTTTGGTCAGATCACAGTCACCTGCATGTGATGTCCCTCTGGTCAGATAAGGCGGTCAGTTGGCGCGTGCTTGGTCAGACCGAGTCTACTGCGCCGACCCTCGGGCGGAGCGCGCCGCTGTCGAGTCCGGCAGCGGCATCACGGCCCAGCAACAGCAGCACGGCCGGCAGCGGCATCACGGCCCGGCAGCGGCAGCACGGCCCGGCAGCGGTACCACGGCCCGGCAGCGGCATCACGTCCCGGCAGCGGTATCGCGGCCCGGCAGCGGCAGCCCGTGTGAGGTCAGCCGGGCAGCGGCAGCCGCCGGCCGACGATGACAGTGCACCGCGCAGGGTCCGCCTCGCGGTGGCTCGATGGAGCAATTATCCAATCAGTCGGAGCTCCGGAATGAGTGCGGTGCCGGCCGTCTGCAATTACTGGGCCCATTAAGACTTAGAGCCGTTGGTGGCACCGTTGGGCACCAGTCTTGATGGGCTTGCTCTTAACTGAGGGTTGTGACCCGTGCTAGACTTATCGTCCAAACACACTACTCGCAAAACGAACCGTCGCATCAGGAAGGGGAACGATGAGGGCAAATATGAACTGTTTGCCTCGCGTTGTTACCATATTTCAGTCTCATAAATCTCTCCAAATTCTTAGATCGAGGTTATATTGAGCCAAGAGGCAAAAGAAAACAATTTTTTGAATCAGTGGTGGATATTCGATTATAAGGATGGCGGTAAATACAGGCATGCCATATTATGCAGTGTTGCCATGCAAAACGTGTTGTTTGTCTTCCTCCCATTTCAATACCCCTAGCTGCTCTTGGAAACACCTCATACCGGTGATGAAGGGGGAGGGGGTCTCCCACAGAGCAGTGTTGAAATGCGTACTGTCACAACAACCGCCATTTTTAATCCATGTGTCTGTGTCTGCCATCGCCCCAGCGGCCTAATGCAACCGCCTCTGCACCGTTTGGACCCAAAAGGGGCGTGCCCGTAACCTTCTTGTTATCGGTAAGCAACCTTTTCCTTTATTCGCTTCTGGAACATTGCGCATTTAAAGTTGAATAAATGGTCAGCACCAGGCTAACGATCGCCGCGTGGACAAACAGAAAATTTATTTCAGGTGCTGAACCGGCGTTTCATTGCTTGGCGTAGTCTCCACATCTGCTTGCTGTAATAAAAAGCCTCTGATGAAATTGGGGCGCGTCTACGCGTTACATGGCTGATTATGTAACAGCTTTTTCAACCAAATTTCGATCGTTAGGGGAAGGAAGAAGTCTGCCAAAGCAGGCGTCTGAAAAGGCGGCGTTTGCCTAAATTTTTAGCGCAAGAAAGTAGTCTGCCAAAGCAGGTGCCTGAAAAGACTGCGCTTTGTCGTGACAAACTTGCCACACATCCAGCCTGGAACCGCCCATGGACAATCATGAGGTCTACATCTTACATGTGTCATACGGCTAGCAGCAAGTAGTAGCACCAAATGGTTACCCGGAGCTGTTGTTTAAGTGGCATATTGGTGTCGAAGTTTGCCTGATTAATGAGAGGCAAATCTGATGTGAAGAGCCGTTTGAACGTCGCACTTAAAGTAGAAGATGGGTCTGGATCGAGAAACAAGTTAGCAATGCAAGTCTTTCCAACGACTCAAGGTTCTAAGTTGATCCCTTCCAGGCGTGACCTTAGGGTCGATGTTTGATATTTATGAGAAGTAGCGATGTTCATAGACCCCTCGGCCTCCTGTTCTTGCGCCTGCGGAGCCGTCCACTGAAGTGAACTGCTGTCATTGCCGATTTGAAACAAGCAGGTGTCGGCCTCGTATTTTAGGTAGAGACGCGGGACTCGATTTCAGTAAGAGGCGCTGAAGCTTCTGGTCTTCGCCATTATGAGCTCTGATGTCAGGATAGCCGGGCTTCGATGTAGCAGCTAGCGATGGTTCAACGAAGGCATCCATCAAAAGGACGCAATGTGATAATACGTAACGTGCAAAGGTAGTATTCATCGTCACCAGTAGCCAAGACCGAGCAAAAATTAACATTCAAAATCGTAGGTGGAGTGCTGTAATTATATATTGAAAGGATTGCTTGGCACCTTTACTTAACTCCTGACGCCTTGAAGGTCAGGAGTTTTTTCAGCACAACACCTCATGACGCGGGGCTCGTTTAGACTTATCTTAACTGATGTAAGCCAGCGGCGCAGGGCGGCAGCCCCTCGCGTGTTTGGTGTGGCCGGCACGGGAAGGTCAGCTGGGAAGGGGCCGAAGAGGGTCACCAGGGCACCGGCCGGCCGCGCCGAGCCGAAGTAGAACACAAAAAAACATTCGGATTCCTGCTGACAACGAACGCGCAGGGCAGGGTCGTCAGGTAAGCCGAAGCACCTCCGGAGGGTAAGCCAACAAATGACTGGTGGTACTGGGGCTGCAGCTATTTCCGCACAACTCTCGCGGGCTCGATGCTGTGGTCCAGGCATGCTGGAGAGTGATGGGGAGGGGACTGAAACTCCACCAAGCATGCGGAAGTTCTGCCTCGACGCGCGAAATGTTATGAAAAAGTGTCCCTAATGTGCGCGCGACAATACCTGGTTTGCAGATGCTCAAAAGCAAATTACAAGCGTGCACAGCTGTCCAAGTCAATGATAATCGCCTGTGATATGCTACTAGCGTTACGCCATTGTCACAAAGTGGAGAAAGGTAAAAGAATGTAAGGATTTTGTCTGAGCACATCAGTGCTGATATACACGCTATCTTCATTTATGCTACATCCAGTCGAGCGTTTTAATTCGGTTCTAATTGTCTATATCTGAGACTTCCCATCGTCTGCTTTAGCTGTGCCCGAAACGCAAACAAGCCTTTTTAGCAAGCATCCGGATGTACAACGACATCTCATTGTGGACACCGATGTCAAACGACACGCATGGTCTCCGTGTCACGTGACTGGAGGCCCCGTCAGCGGTATCACGTACCAGCGATGTCTGATCTCCTTTCCTCGCACGGAGCGCGTGCGGCGCCTCTCGGACACCGCTGCGCCGGCTTCTCCACAAAGCGGCCGTGTGAACCCGACCGAGTTCACTAAAAAGTCCGCGGATAACGCGATGTGATCTGGCGACCAAACATCCGGAGAAACCGTCACTCGCTCGCTCGCTCTCGCAGCGACGGTACCCGCGCGCCGCCCGGCGGCCGGCGAAGGAACCACAGCCCGGGCGAAGTGTGTCACCGACGGCTCACTCTGGGGTCGGCGTTGCGACGGGCAGGTGCATCGAAGCGCACGCACGGAGCGAGTGATGCCCGCGACGGCCTGGGCCCAGTGAGCGAGCCGGATTGGCGCCATGACCGACGGACTGGCGCGCTTCCTGGGCGTGGTGTACCCGAACTCGGTGGTGGATTTGTTGGCGCGGTGCCGCCGGAGAGTGACGCAGGCACGCAGAGGACTGCAGAGGCGCAGCATGAGATTCTCCAGGTAGGTGGCTGGTGGAGGATCAGTTGGTCACAATGTCAGTGCGTGGTGTGCGCTGTCCTCCGCGAGACGAAAACCCCGGCGAACTTAGCGCACCCAGTGCGTGTGCTTAACACCGCGAAATGCGTGTTTCGATTCAGCCAAGACCTAAGCGCAATAAATCTGAATGCTCCTTCCTACGTTCCGTACGTATAAATTGGCTAAGTATGGCACCAGTACCAATTCAAGGGCCTAAAGGTCTTTCCACTATCCATGGTTGATTCTGAGCGTTTGCGATGCTGTATCACTTCCATAAACATTTGCCCTAAATCCAGCAGAGAATGAATGGAAACACCGAGGGCCGTATACCATCCCCGCCCTCTTCACTGCCGTCGCTGGACCGGTAGTCTGCATACCCAACCAAGCATTCCACAGTGAAACCTGGAGTAAATTCCCAAGAACCCAATTCCGGTTCATTCAGCTCCCACACGTGAAACCTCTCAACTGGAATGACCGCTCCGAACATTCTTACCCGGCGACGTTACCTCGACCTGCATGCAGCGTTCTCGGCCCGTACAGGTGGCGTTGGAAAGTGGCCGATCTCCCGCCAAACGGGCTTCGCGTATACAGAGTAAATTCATTTCACTTGACACATATTTTGCACGTTGTTAAGCAGGCCGAGTTTCAAGAGCTGTGGAGCGTGCAGACGGACGAGTGCACAGATCGCAGCCAGAAGGATGAGATCTCCCTGACATCCGCACTAGAGCATCAGATGCAGGCAGAGCGCACGTTCCTAGCGCCGCGTGTCGCAGCATCGGAAGAAAGCTTTTAGTCATGCGAAACCGCAGACCTAAAAGGCACATTACGTGTCTAATTGGGCGTGCACGACGCTCATATATCTCCGAAGAAGTCGGGCATCCATGTCGTGGGAGCTCGCAATGCTGGGAATGCAGATTGTACTGCTGCGATCTGTCCGACTTTGAATAGTTACTCGTCCATTCGACGGTGTGTGGGCTTTGGAACCACCTGGCCAAAATTGCTACGGCACGTTTCGCTGTACAACCTGATCAGTGTCTAGATCCCCCGCATGGCGTGCGGGGCCGTTTGGCAGATAGTCGTCCATCATTGGGCGGTGAGTTGCCTGCGATGTCCCGATGCCTGCGATGAGTTGTTCCGGGGGGGTCCCCCAATCCTGGACATTGGCAACGGGACCATAAGGAACCTTGCTTTACAACCCATTCGCCTCCCTCGCCGAACGAGCGGGATCGCGCGGGCCGTTCTGTGACGCGACATCGCTGGATGACCGCCAGCTTTAAAGCGAGGTGTTCTGCTCGATGTTTGATGAGGGATCACCTCCCCAGATGCCTCGTCGCGAGCTCGTCAGCCGACCCGGCCGACTCGTCACACCCCTCATTATGCGCCCAACTCTGCACTGGTCCAGGACGGGGTGCCGGAGCTGCCCAATAATTACACCATTACCCCGTGGCGAGCGGAGAGTGCTGTCCGCCGGACGCCCTCCGCGACCGCCCCCGTCAGCACTTAAAGGGCGTTTTTTGGGCGTCAAGCCCAGCCTAATGGCGGGGCACACGTAACGGGTCACGTCCCGCTGAGGGGAGCAGCAGACCCGGCCGCGACCAGACCGGTCCCGGCTACGGTCCCGGGCCGGTCCTGTCCGGACCCGGTCATCGGTCACCGGCGACCAGATCAGGCGTTCGCAGGTCAGGCCGATGCAACGCGGGGGTTATGTGTAGCTATTTGCAGGTTGTCGGGAGTAAGCACTTCAGACAGGCGACCACAATCCGTTTGCAATAATGGACAGTATGTTTCGGCAGTGTAGGTGCCAGTGTCCTTTCAGACCTGCAGTCCTTAGGCGCGTGGTGTTCGGAGATTGTGGCGCAGCCCGGTGGACTTGGTTCAGATACATGATGACTGCTGGCATGACTGCTCGAAATAAAACCTTACAGCTTCACAGCCTCCGCGGAGTGGACACTGCTCATCCTCATGCGCCCACGTACAGATGTGCTAAACATAGCACTAATCATGCTTCCGCAGCTTCCCACACCAGTTGTGTGGCCTGCGTGGGGACATTCATATCAACGCACGGCAATGCGTTGGAAAAGCTTGCTATCCATTTGTGTTGATCTCACGCTAATTTTGGTGTGGATCACAACGTACATGGGGCCCACAGACCTGCAAACTGTGATAAATCAAAGTGTTTCAAATCAGCCTCGCCTGGCTGGGCTGCTTGAACATCTTGACCGCCAGCTCTGCGGGGCCCAGCCTGAGCAGCGGAAGGTCACGCCTAGCACCCCCGTGCACGCACCTCAAACGCTGTAGTCAACGCGCGCAGACCAGCGCGTTAGGAGCAATTACGTTTAATAGGGGGAAACTGTCCACGTCCACTTCTTGTGTATTATCCTCCGTGAGCTGGCGGGCCTGCCCGGGCATCGCCACTTTCACATTCCGATTAAAGAGCAAATTCCGGCAGCGGCAGCGGGCGGCGCCGGCTCCTCCGCCGCTGGACTCTCGCTGCCTCGCGCGCCGGCGGCGAGCTCCTCGAGCGCCGGTTATAGCCGGGTTAGGGCGTGCTTGCGCCATTAACGGCAGCTGTGAACGCTGCGCTGCTTGAGTGCGTGTGAGGATTTAAAGGGCTCGTCGGCGCGGCAGGGATGTGTGCAGCGCAGAGCGACTGGAACGGCGATGGATGGGGGCAGGGATCTGGGTCTGTGCTGAGATAGTGGTCCGGCCATTTCACGTGCTCTGACATGCTCTGTTTGCAATATGGAACACTACATTTTGCTCTCGTACGCAGCCATCTTTACTACAAATTGGTTGCCCCACTACAAATTGCGTTGCTAATACAGCTCCAAGAGGAGCGCAGTACCAAATTTCAGTGGGGGCCGACTGGCGACAGAAATCAAAAGGCTCCTTTCCGTACAGTTCCGCGTCTGGGGGAGAGGCGCCACAACCAGGTGAGCTCTCGAATAATCTTTAAAAAAAGATGGAGAGCTCCAGTAGCTGCTTCTAACCACTTCTGACAATTTGGACGGAAGCTTTCGGAATGTTCGAAATTCTTCCCTCGGCATGAGGACCGCAAAAGGCTTTAGACATCCTTTTATCATGTTACCACTGCTGCCGTTGCCTCTCGGATCGTGTGCGGAACTGAACTCAGCTGGACTTGGTCTGACTCGGGACCTTTTGAGCACATTGATTTATTGAATACTGAAACTGGGCCCCTGGGTTACTGATTTGTTAAAACAACAGCATACTCGATGCCGTATTTGCACTCATCAATAAAAAAGGCCAGTGTTTTTTTTTATTTGTGACAAAACCAAACTCAGTCAATAATAACCTGAGTTGCTCTTTGATTCGAGCTTAAGCTACTTTCATGAAAGCTAATCTCAGACGAGACTTATCTTGAATTGGTCTTCCTTGTATTCATTGTTACGTCCCGTGTCACCAGGTATAGAGGGGGCAGACTTGGATTAGATGTGACCTTTACCCATTATAATAAGCCGTAGGATTGTCGGGTACATTTCAACAAACCAAACGATTCGATGGATAAGGGTTTAATTGTAATACCTGTAATTAACATCTCTCCAAATGCTGGCGCGGCAAGACGTCCAATATCGATGTCACTGGACTTCGGTGAGGTTAACCGGGCTACGTTTGCAACTTGCAAAGTTTTGTGATTTATGATCGGTGGTCTTGAATCCCGACAGCTTGATGCTCATTTTCCGTTCGATTCAATGAATAATATAATGACAGCGAACTTAAGATTTGTGAATAAAGACTCGACTCCTAACTTTATGCTCAAGCGCAGCTTCTTTCTCAGACTCATTTTTCACGAAAATGCAGACTCAGATTCGTGCCAGGGACCAAACCTTGGCTTCTGAGACTCGGAACAGGGCTTGACATCATGCTATGCTCAAAGAGTGGGACTCATGACTCGTATTCAGGCGCAGCGTACCACATAACGAACTCGAAATTGGGATTTCAGACTCGAACCCTTGCCTGCCGGGGCTAACGAGGCGCCACTTCTGCAGACAACTGCGCAGCAGTGAGTCAGACGCTCACCCCAGACTGCGTCGCGACTTCTTTGGATGTCCCTCTTGGGACGAGACCAACATGACATTTCCTTATCCTAGTGCAGGAGGAAGGGTACGCTGCGGGAGTTACTGGGACCTCCTTTTCCCAGGCATCTCGAGGTCCCAGCGTGGCTGTTTCTTACTGGGAGCCCGGCAAAGAACCCCTCCCGCACCGGCAATGTCACCCACACCTCTTACCCTCGACGAAATCCTTAGGGCTTCCATGTTACCAAGCACCATGGTCACACTCGGCCTTCCGCCACTGCCGACGGACCCGTGGGGCTACCTGCGAGGACAGCGACTCCTTGCGTCACCCGCCTCCCACCCCGCAAGATCAAACGATCCTGCACCAGCCGCCCGTCCTCTGGCTGCCGTGCCGAGGTGCTGGCCACGCGTCCGGTCCGACGAAAGCCCGGCGGTCGTGCAGCGCTAGCCAGCCGTGCCTCGACGACTTTCCCGGATTTTCGGCCGCGAAGCGCTGGGACGCGGGGCCAGGGTTATTAGAGGCTCCGACCGAGCGGGCAGCGGCGGCAGCGGCGGCGGCGGCGGTGGTGGTGGCGACGGCCTGGCTAGGAGCGGCACCGGTTTCACCGCCGCAGCCCGGGGACTAGAGACGTCGCCGCCGCCGCCGCCGTCCTCCGTTCGGCTGGTCGACAACACAGCGCTGCTGGTGGCTGAGCCTGCTGCATCCGAAACGACTGAGGAGGTGGGAATGCGGGAGGAGGTGGGGCAGGGGAGGGTAGAGCTAAAGCGTTGTCTCAGAAGCTCTCTCGCTCCCTCTCACACACTTGAGCTGAAAAACGTTCTCTGGTTTAGCTGTTGAATGGGGTGTCACGGGCCCTGAACCAAGGGGCTTTTCTTGTTTTGCTTCGAGTAAAATTGTAGGATCATTGCAGCAAGAAAAGCCGGGTTAGGCAATACGATGAGACACATTTC